GGGGCGGGGGGGGAGGGGGGGGGGGGGGGGGGGAAGGGGGGGGGGGGGGGAGGAGGGCTCTGGGAATGCCAGAGGGACATAGATATGAAAGAGACACCTTTCCTCTCACTCACGCATCCTTATCCTCTCCTTACCTGAGTGTAGGGACCTCGAGGTCTCCTTGGCCCTAAAGGCCCACCTGGTATTCCTGGACCCCCGGTAAGTGACTGCCCCTGACTTCTGACCCTGATCTGACCCCCTGACTTCTCCAAATCTCATCTTCCTAACTGCCCGACCTCCCCTCCAGTTCCCCCTTGCTGCACCCCCAGTCCCGCTTCAGCCTCTGCCCCCATGGGCCCTTTTTAGGGCTTACGGTGTGGGGCACCAAAGGCTCTGAGAACAGCCAAAAAAAAAAAATCCTCAAGAAAAACAAAACAAAAACCCACAAACCCACAGGCCCACAGACCCACGCCCTGCGGGTATGGGCCGGCTGTGTTTGCTTAGGTCTGGGATGAACTGGAGGACTGACCCATGTTCCTCTGCCCTGACCCACCCTCACCCTCGGGAACCACAGGGCCTCCCCGTGTGGGCTGCCTTCCTGCTCACACCCCTCTCACGTTTCAGGGCATCCGAGGCATGGACGGTCCCCATGGTCCCAAAGGGAGCTTGGTAAGTGATGGGCACGGAGACTCCACCCGACCCTTGGCCTGCCAGCGTCCTGCTCCCTTTGCCTCACTCGGAGCCCTGCCCCTCCGGTTCTCGCCCTCTGGATACTCCTGCTGGGACTCAGCTCTTCACCATATGTTTTGCCACCATCTCCTCTGACCCTGCCTGGTTGCCTGTTTCTAGGGGCCCCAAGGGGAGCCGGGACCTCCCGGACAGCAGGGAACTCCTGGGACCCAGGTGAGTGGTCTGTCCACCCCCCTCCAACGTTAGCGACTTCCCCTGGGCTTCCCCGTGGGTCAGACCCGAACGGGGACAGGAAATTAAGGGTCTCCAGCCTTCACTGCTCATGCTCTGAAGGGGGTGCTGGCTGGAGGAGAGAGCGCCCCCGCTTCGGGGCCCCTGTGACTTCTCTCTCCCTGCGTACAGGGCCTCCCCGGGCCTCAGGGTGCCATCGGCCCCCATGGAGAGAAGGTGAGCGACTAAATAATCTGGGAGCAGGGGTGTGCTGGGGCGGGTGCTGGGACAGCCTAATGCCTGGCTGGGACTTGGCCGTGTTCAGACCTGACCCCTTTGGTGACCCTGAACCCCCTCGCCTTCCTGCAGGGCCCTCTGGGGAAACCAGGGCTCCCCGGCATGCCCGGCTCAGACGGACTCCCGGTGAGTGGACCCACTTCTTACTCCAAATACCCTTGATCTTCCACCCCACCTGGTGGCCTCCCAGGGCCCTCAGTGACTCTCCGTCCGTGTGTCCCTTGCACTGGGAGGTCACGGTGGCACCTGCCCGTGGTCAGTGGCTCCATCAGGTCATAGGGGGTTTGGGGTGAGGAAGTGTGGAGAGGGGTGCAGGAGGGTGGCAGGGGCCAGTGGTCACATTCTTCTTCCCTCCCCCAGGGTCACCCCGGGAAGGAAGGTCCCCCAGGAACCAAAGGAAACCAGGTGAGGCCTTCCACGCCTCCTCTCAGCTTCCGAAGGGCTTCCCCCCCAGGCCCTGGGCTTCGAAGTCCTTGGGATGTCCTTGTCTCATCATTAACGAGGCTCTGACTGTTTTCTTCGAGGTCACTTCCCATTTCCCAAGCCCCGAGGCCACTGCGACGACACCCCCCGACCCCTTTGTAGATACCTCTCTTTCTTCTTCCAGGGCCCATCCGGACCTCAGGGCCCCCTCGGGTACCCCGGACCCCGAGGTGTCAAGGTAAAGACCCCCAGGCCGGGAGATAAAGGGCTGCTTTTGGGGGAGCCAGTCGGGGTCTCGGGAGCTCGGTCCTTCCAACCCCAGCCCCGCCCTGACCTCTGTCTCTGTGCCCTGACTCCAGGGTGTGGATGGAATTCGGGGTCTGAAGGGTCATAAGGGTGAAAAGGTGAGCAACGTGCCCCGACTTCCCAACACCCCCATCTGCCTCCACCAGCCTCCCTGTCACCTCTTCCCCACTCCCTCCCCTCCTGCTGCCCCTGCTGCCCTCCAGCTCCTGACACCCACCCTTCCACTCTGTTCTCCAGAACCCTCCATTTTAACCTCCTGACCCTCTGCCATCTGGGGTGTCCTCTCCCAATTTTTTTAGGGCGACGATGGCTTTCCTGGGTTCAAAGGTGACATGGGTGTGAAAGGTGACAGGGTGAGTAGAAACCCCCACACTGCTCCCCAAGTCTGCGTCCTAATGATCCTTCACTTTGGAGCCCCCGGCCGATTCCTTTGATACCCCGGAGACCCGGTCTCCAGTGCTCTGCACCCTTTAGGCCTGATCCCAGCAGGTTAACAGCCCCACAGCCTGTGTCCCTCCAACCACAACAGTCTCCCTGCCCCTGTGGCCCTCTGTCGTGCAATAGCGTCTGGGACCCCCGCCAACCCTCTCAGCCTCACCGGGGGCTGCCTCTCCCCTGGGGCCTAGCCCCACCCCAGACCCTGACACTCACCTCTTCAACCCTCTCACTCAGGGCGAGGTCGGAGTCCCTGGTTCCAGAGGAGAGGACGGTCCCGAGGGGCCGAAGGGTCGCACTGGACCCACTGGAGACCCTGGGCCCACTGGGCTCATGGGCGAGAAGGTGACAGGGATGAGGGATCTGTGTCTGCTCTCCAGGGATATGGAGGGGTTGCGGGCTTGGGCCCAGGGATCAGGGTGGGCATGCGTTGCCAACAGCTGGAGCAGTGAGTCAATTGAAGACGACCGTGCATTAATTATGCTCCTCCTGTATGTGGCACCTCCTGGACACTGGCGGGTTGATGGGTGATGGATAAGAAGTCAAGGAAAAGTCCCCGTCCTGAGAAGTTTACAACAGATTGATGGGGACAAGGCATAGAGGCCGCCATAGGGTGGCCGTAGGTGCAGGGCAGAGTGCAAATGTCCAGACTCCGCGCCTAGGAGTTCTGAGAGGAGAGGCAGGAGCTGGTGAGCGGGCTCACGGGCTCGTGGACTCGTCAGAGACGGCCCGGGCGAAGGCTGCACCGTCCGGCCTCCCAGAGGCACCAGGAGGTTAAGATGCTCTCTAGTTGCGCAGCCGGTGAGGCGGAGCAGGGTGTGAGCCCATGCAGCCAGGTTGCAGAATCCCTGCTCCCAAGCGCAGCCCACAGCTGCCTCCTGACAGCCCTGCAGCGTGGGGAGGCAGGGGTGCACGGGAGTGAGGTGGGGGTGCAGAGCAGGAGCTGAGGGCAGAGCTGTCCCCAGCCGTGTGGAGGCCAGCACCGGGCAGGGGCAGGCGCATGTGCTGGGGAAGGTGGAGCCGAGGTTGACAAGCAGGGACTAGGTCACAGCCCCTAAGGACCCGATGGAGCTGGAGCGGCAAACTTTAGTCCCCAGACACCGGCAGGCAAGACCCCAGCCCTCTGGGGAGGAGAGCTTACCAGGCCGCAGCCCTGGGCGGAGATGAGGGGCTGGGGCCTGATGGGCATGTTGCTGGGTGGGGCTGGCTCCCGCCCCTGAGGGTTGGGGTCTCCAGGGATGGAGGGGTGTCTGTGGCTCCTCCAGCTCCTGATTGCTCCCCGTCCCTCCGCAGGGCAAGCTGGGTGTTCCTGGTCTGCCTGGCTATCCCGGACGCCAGGGTCCCAAGGTGACGTGATGCCCCACTCGTACCCCCTCCTCCTGTCCCTCCCAGGACACACAGGCTGACAGAGCAGTGGGGTCCCACGGAGGAGGGAGCAGGCCCGAGAGCAGCAGGGGGTGCCGCAGAGCCAGGCCTCACTCCACGCCCCCACCACCTCTCCTGACCCTCAGCCCTTCCTGGGCCTCCCTTTCCTGACTTTGATGTTTTTCCTTCTCCATCTTCACCAGGGGTCCCTAGGATTTCCTGGTTTTCCTGGAGCCGGCGGAGAGAAGGGAGCCCGGGTAGGCTGGGAAGAGGGAGCGGAGGGAAGGGCTGCTCTGTGGGGAGCCAGGCCCTGCGTGATGTGCTCTCTGCTTCCTTCCGCCAGGGCCTGTCCGGGAAGTCAGGGCCTCGGGGCGAGCGGGGCCCCACGGTGAGTGCCGGGGAGACATGTGGCTCAGGATCCAGAGCGGTGCCTTGGTTTTCTGACAACGCCTCTCCCTCTTCTAGGGTCCACGGGGTCAGCGGGGGCCCCGAGGCGCCACTGGAAAGTCTGGAGCTAAGGTGAGTGGCCCGGCAGGGCTCCGTCGGTGGCCTGCCCCTTGGCCCAGCCCCCGCAGCCCCTCTAACTCTGTTTCCCCTCAGGGAACATCGGGTGGCGACGGCCCCCACGGGCCCCCTGGAGAAAGGGTGAGTGTGGCTGGCGCGTCCGAGTCCGGGTCCCGTACTCCCTGGGGAGCCTGAGCAGAGCAGCTCCCTGTCAGCCCAGCATCCCGCCCCACCCTCCGGACTCAACCCAGCTCTGTCTCTAGGGTCTCCCTGGGCCTCAGGGCCCCAACGGATTTCCTGGCCCCAAAGGCCCTCCGGTAAGCTGACCTCTGACCTCTGGCCGACCTTGGTTCTCAGAATCCTTCTTCCCCATTCCCTTCCCTGCCGAGAATTCACCGGCATCTGCACCCCTTCCAGGGCCCCTCTGGGAAGGACGGGCTGCCAGGACACCCGGGCCAGAGAGGAGAAGTGGTAAGTGATGGCCGGGCCCCTCGGGCCCTCAAACTCCAGAGCCGTGGGGAGGGCCCGCCTGGGGGGGTTCTCCTGACAGGGGAGAGCATCCGGGTGCTCGACTCCGACTGCGGGCAAGGACGCAATGGTGAGCCTGCCTTCCTCTGGGGAGGGCCCGCCTGTGTTCTGACTGCTCTCTCGTCTCCTCTTCTCTCAGGGTTTCCAAGGGAAGACCGGCCCGCCTGGTCCCCCAGGGGTGGTGGGACCTCAGGTATGTCTGCCTCTGGAGAGGGAACCCACCTGGAGCCAGTGCCCGTCCTTCTCCCTTTCCCGGCCTGGGGGCTGGGCACGTGGGGGGCCTGGGGGCTGGGCA